GGTGAGTAAATATATGATTGTTTCGGTTTGTGTAATGTTTTGACGGCACTTGACCCCCCGTTCGAAAGGTTATTTTGTGGGCATGTTGTAAAAGACAGACTGGACTGGACTGGACCGGACTGGACTGGACTGGACCGGGAAAACGCGGACTGAGTCCGTGTTTTACAAATCGCGGACTGAATTTGTAAAACACGGACTGGACTGGACCGAGAAAACACGGACTGAGTCAATCTCGTTCCCCGAGCCTGCGATCCTCGGGAAGGAACGCGAGGCTCTGGGATAATCCATTGCCGGAAGCCAGGAATCCTGGCTAAGATTGAACTACGCGTTCCATTTCAACGGCCAATCAGATTCCTCCCTGAAACGGATTATCCCAGAGCCTCGCGTTCCTTCCAGAGGATCGCAGGCTCGGGGAACGAGATTGGGACTGAGTCCGTGTTTTACAAATCACGAACTAAGATTTGTAAAACGCGGACTGAGTCCGTGTTTTACAAACGGCGGGCTGCAATTTGTAAAAGGCGGACTCATTTCCTGACAAACATCGATGTGACTCAGTCGTAAAGGTTTTGGCGGGAATTGCACTCAGTCGTGAGAGTTTTGGCGGGAATTGCGGATAATAGGTCGGTCAAGGAATAATCATATCCTGGACCTAAGGTTGGTAGAAATTACTATTATTTATTTATTGTTTTGAATAAACAGCGTTCAATCTTAGGAACACGCTCAGTCATGTGGGACTTTGTGCCACTATTGTCGAGGAAACTCATGCTCCAAATGTGGCCGTTTCATGTAAATAGTTGTATGCCTGTATAGGTATAGCTCTTATTATAGCAGCAGGGCCGTAGCAACCGGGGGGGGGGGCTGCAGCCCCCCCAATAATTTGCTAATAATCATTCTTTTTTCAAAATCATGCAAACTTTATCATTTAATCTGTGACAAACTGCAAAGAATGAAGATATTACTCATCCTCCAGATCGTTCCTCGCGTAGAAATTTTAGCTGAATTTCTGTCGCGCATTTTCAAGAAAATCCCACAAAATCTGCACATTTTTGATGAACTAATGATTTATTTTGTCTTTTACGTGTTGGGTCTTGCGAAAGAAAACTCTGAAAATGCCATTTCAGACCATCTAGAGACTCCAGATTTTCGAAATTTTCTCAAATGTTCTGCCTTCATTTCCGCGCAACTGCCATTTACGACGAAAATTCCCGCCGCGCATTTATAATACTACAGTCTGGCCCATGCTTTCCTGTAAATTTCGACATACTAAAACGCTGTTTTCTGACTATCAGAATTCTGTTAAATCTTCCCCCAAAGTCCAGGAAATGGCATTTTAGAGACTCTAAATTTAAAAATTTCCTCGGGCCTTCGGCCCTCGCTTTCAGCCCCCCCCAATCGAAAAGAGCTTCCTACGGCCCTGAGCAGATATACCATTTAGTGTTAATCATAATTAGACGAAAATAGAGTTAATTCGTTTATTTTGTGTTCGTGGGGAAGAGGGCGTATTAAATAAAGGTGTCTACAAATTTGCGAGAAATATGAAATGAATACTGTAATCGAATTTACCTTTCAAATATTTGTTTTATTAAACGGGGAAACTCTCGCAGGCTATCAAAACATCAAAGGTAGTGTTGTGCATATAAATTACAATAAATTTAAATTTCTCAACTTTTATTGTTGTCGTACGAGGAAGTTTCTAAAAATCGCTATTCGATTATAGTGCTCAATTCGCATATTTCTCGCAAATTTATATATACACTCGTTTTCAAAATTACGCGACCTCCCTGAAAAATACTCTTACTTCAAATGGGGAAAGTACAAAACATGGACCCCCGGTGCATGGACCCCTTGTCTGGACTGGGTCTATGGACCCCTCTATGGACCGGGTCCTTGGACCCCCTCTATGGACTGGGTCCATGGACCCCCTCCATGTGCCGCATTTTTCCGAATTTCAATATTACTGTTAAACATGATTC